ATTTAACATAACTTAATGAAGAACATGTTGTCAGTTATTACTTTCTTTGTTCGTATCTGATGAAGCCTGAGGCTAAGGGGGAAAGAGAGGTTTTGACTGTCTGTTCTAATCATGCCATTTGGAGGCAGTTACTTTGAATCTTTAAGCAAAGCATAGAGAGACTTCTTGGGCAGACAGAAATTTGTGTGCAAACCTCTGCTCCTATGTAGGCCTTAAGTCAGGGGGGGTTTTGCTGGAGACTTTTACAAGGAATTCTCAGGCTGGACTTCTCAAAAGCCTTTCATGAGCCCACGTTTCATCTGTGCCATTAGACACCTGTATGACATTACCATTCCCAGACCTGTCAGCAAGCGACCTTCGTCAATTACCACAGATCAGGAACCCAGACCTGTGAGTAAACAACCTTCGTCACTTACCACAGATCAGGAAAGGTTAATGATGGGTATCTGGCCAGTTTTCCAAAGGGCTTTTTCATAGGCCTTATAAAGTTAACCTTAATTCCTTAATGCAGTCTGGAAATGCTATTCCAGCCAAAACCTTGGTCATGTTAGGCCTGCAACTAACCTGGCCACATGGGATTCTGCCTCAGTTTCTTAAGTATGCCTGCACAAAGTCTTTTCACTGCTCTCTCTCAAATGGCTTTTTTGGCCAGAGGCATATAGGCGTTTCACCTATACCCTGGTGGAGAGGGGGTTGAGCTCCACCAGATCTCACCCCATCCCCATTCTGGAACCTGCCCCTGCCTAAGGTTACCTTGGCAGAACACTTTGCTTTCTGACTCTCAGTTCCTGCTTGACAAATAAGCCAATAAGCCACTCAGGATAGATCATCCTTAAACACCACTGAGATGCAAACAGATTGTGCCTGGCATCCTTTGGGCACCACCCAAGTATTTTAAAAACTTCAGAGAGGAGGGTTGCACTTACCTTGCCTTTTGTGACTCTTCTCCAGGTTTCTTTTTCATGAGGTTATAACTGTCAGACAACTGTCAAAACAAATATTATAGAGCTTGGTTTGCGAGATGAAGGCTGAGAAATGGAAAATCACTTTCCCAAAGGGACCTTACCCACAAGTGGCAAAGCCAACATTTTAACATGAACTTCAGAGTCTGGGTGAGGACCTGCACCCAATGCACCACCTGCAAAAGGAGGTTGCTAGATCAGGACATCCAAGGTCATCCAACTCCATCCTGTAGAGCCTATTTAGGTATAATTCACAAGAAAGCAAAATCAGAGACTAGGCCTTGGGGCAAGGACAGAACAAACAGAGATGAAATCTCTCTTCTCCTGTCTGAATTTTGTTCCATTAGCTTTATTAGAAAAATTACAGGGGAAAATAAACCACATAAACAAGGTTAATTAGAGTGAAATGCCTACCCCCTGCCATAGCCCACAATACCTATCCCTCCAATTGCAAATCTCCCCAAACCAGATAACCATTACATCATTCTTCCAGACTTTTCCCATAAATATAACATATTATTTATTTTACAAAAATGTAGGCATGTTAAATCTATTACACTGCAAAACATACTTTCTTCTCTCTTGGATGTCACTCCCTGTCAGCACACATGCAGTAGTCAGTGGCTGCATAGAATGCAGTTGTAGAGATTCACTCTCTTGGAACTAATCTTTCTTCCACAAATAGGCATATAAGTTTCTTCCCAATATTTTGGATGCACTTGCATCTTTGCAGCTTTCTGTGGGCAAGACTTCAGCAGTGAGCTTTCAGGGATCAGAGTGTTGGCCACCACTTAGTAGAATCAACTGACACATTGATAGGATAGGCTAGATCTGGAAACTGGCCCTCAGAGCCTGCAGGGACAGGTCCCTACAGGGACAGATTCCCAAGGACAGATCTAGTGCCCTGGGAACAAAAGGAGGGGTCTCATCCACCAAGAAGCTGGGCAGTCAGGAACTAGTTTGCCCTTGTGGATACCTCTCCTGAGAACAAATTTAAGCTAATAGGAAATGCAAAAATGTTCAAAAGCAGAACTTGTAGCCCTGATGTAGCAAAATCTTTTTTTTTTTCTTGCTTTGGTTGATAGTTTATTAAATACACATTTGTTCACACGTGGACTTATTAAAAACATACTTCATAAAAAACTATCTGTAAAACTAAAATGAAAATACTGCACATGTATTACATAAACTGCTGAAAGGTTAGAAATTATTTCAATTCAATGTATATAAGTTGCTTAATAAAGGCAATCATGAAATAGTAGGTGATTTAATTTTCCTAAATGGAGCACTAGACCATGACTTCAAAAATGTTAATATTGAAACATGGGTACAAAAATGTTTATTAACAAAACTATTTAAATATAACAATGTTTGAGAAAGAAAATATTATTTTTCCTTTACAGATATTTTTCTAAATCCATTCTCTATACATGTCCTCCCATTTAGAATTAGTTATACAGACTGATGTAACAAAAACTCAATTCCTTTTATTTATTTAATCTTTTTTTTTTTTGAGACAGAGTCTTACTTTGTGGCCCCAGGTAGAATGCTATGATGACACAGCTCACAGCTACCTCAGACTCTTGAGGTAGATAAGAGATAACTGAGGTAACTTCTCTTACCTCAGCCTCCTGAGTAGCTGGGACTATAGGCACCTGCCATAACTTCCGGCTATTTTTAAAGATGGTGTCTCAGTCTTGCTCAGGCTAGTCTCAAACCCATGAGCTCAGGCAATTCATCCACCTCAGCCTCCCAGAGTGCTAGGATTACAGGCATGAGCCACGGTGCCCAGCTTTCTGATGGTTTTCTGGATTACAGGTGTGAGCCACCTTGCCCAGCCAGAAACCTCATTCTTAGAACCACAAGAAACTTCATTGTGCCAATAACCTTAATGAATAAGGAAATAAATTCTCTGCTAAAGTCTTCAGTTAGAGTACAGTCAGCTGATACTTTGACTTTAATTCAAACCAGACTTTTGACCTACAGAAATATTATAAGTCTGTGTTGTTTTAAGCCACTTTGTAGCAATTCTTTAAGGTAGAAATAGAAAACTAATACGCCACCTTGACTTTGAATTAATCTCGAACTTGACAAAGAACCTCATGTTCATCTTTACCTAGAACTTGACTTGAATTTAACCCTGACCCTTGACATTATTGTCACATTGATCTTGACCCGAAATCTCATGCCCTAATCCTGACACGCACACCTTGACCTTACAACTGGCCCTAAATCTTACCAGAACTAGACATTCACTATCAACCACAATGTTACTCTCAACCTTACCTCATTCTGACAGCGACCATCATCCTGACCCTGACCCACCCTATTCCTGAACTTGATCTTGGCCATAAACTGTGACCTCTACCCTGTTACTGACCTTCTAATGTATCCTCAGCCTAACTCTGTAGGATCTTACATGATCCTAATTCTGACTCTGAGCTTTACACTCATCTTGACCTTGAACTTAAACTAAAAAACTTCTCACTCAGATTTTGACCTTGAACCTGATTCTGACATTAGCCAGACCTCTCTCTCACCTTGATCTTTAACCTGAAACAGACCTTTACCCTTAACTGGGTCTTGAGGACTCTGCCCTCATGAATGGATTAATCCATTCATGGACTAATGGGTTTTTTGTTTGTTTGTTTTATTTTTTTTTTTTTTTTGAGATAGAGCCTCAAGCTGTCCCCCTGGGTAGAGTTCATGGCATCACAGCTCACAGAAACCTCCAACTCCTGGACTCAAGCGAGTCTCCTGCCTCTGCCTCCCAAGTAGCTGGGACCACAGGCGCCTGCCACAACGCCTGGCTATTTTTTGGTTGCAGCCATCATTGTTGTTTGGCGGACCTGGGCTAGATTCAAACCCGCAACTTTAGGTGTATGTGGCTGGCGCCTTAGCCACTTGAGCCACAGGCGCTGAGCCGTGGACTAAAGGGTTGACGGATTAATGAGTTATCATGGGAATGGGACTGGTATATTTATAGGAGGAAGAACGACCTGAGCTAGCATGCTTTAGCCCCTGGCCATGTGATGTGCTATACTGCCTTAGGACTCCTTAAAGGGTCCACACAAGCAAGAAGGCTCCCACCAGGTGGGGCCCCTTGACCTTGGACTTCTTAGTTAATGTAACAGTAAGAAATAAATTCCTTGTCTTTATAAATCACCAAGTGTCAGATTTTCTGGTATAGGCAACAGAAAACATAAGGCAGCAGGGCAGAGGCCAGGGTAAGTGTATTGACCGAGGCCAAGGGCAGTGCTGAGGTCAAAGAAAAGGCCAGGGCCAGGGCCAGGCCTGAGCCAGGTATAGATGAGGGTCAGGATTAAGGGCAAGGCTGTAATTAGGGCCAGAGCTAGGATGAAGATGAAGGCTAAGGACAGGGCTATGGAGAAAGGCAATAGTAGGGATAGGAACAGTGAGTGTTCGGACCAGGGCCTTGCCCTAATTGTCAGGTTCGGGTCTGGTGAAAATACAGAGAAGGCAAGGCACACGTCAGGGTCAGTTGGAACAAGGGTAAAAGCTGGATGGTGGATGCTGGCAATGGCCAGAGCGAGAGTCAGGGCAAGGTTGAGGAACAGGGTCATTTTCAAGGTCAGGGCCAGGTTCAGATCAAATGTCAGGTCCAGACGGAGGACAGGGCATATTTATTGGCAAGGGTGCAGTGTAGGGGTAGGGACAGCACCAAAGGAAGGAGGGGTTCAGATGAAGGCCAGAGCAAGGGCGAGGCTCAGAGGCAGGGCCAGGGCAAAAGTGAAGAACAGGAACTTGTTAAAAGCTAGATATAATGCTAGAATAGGAGGTGAGAGCAGGAGTAAGTTCATAGGAGAAGCTGGGCCGCCAATTACTTAACTAAGAGTTAGCCTAACCAGGCGAGAGCGCCGCGAGTGGGCGGGGCTGGCCCTGCAGGGCGGGATCGCTGCTGGCCGTGCGGGGCGGGAGCTCGGCGGGCGGGGCGGGGCTGGGCGGGGAGGGGCAACAATGCAAACT